AGTTCCTCCCATGTGATTACGTCCTTCAAGTCTGGTACGTCGACGCCGTGGGAGGTTGCCAGGTGGCTCAACCAGGTCTGGCATCCGCCCTTTGAATTCAGGAACAGGGCGTCGATGTACGCATGCTTGGCTACTGGCAGGATCCTGAGTTGCGTTGTGAATGCTTCCCACCAGAGGACGGGATCCTGCTGCGTGTAGTCGTCGAACCTCTCCAGGTTGAAAGTTGGCATCTTGTACATCTTCGGATTGTCGTCCGCGTTCGTCGACTGCAGCTTCTGGACCTCGGTCTTCAATGTATGCAGTTGACTGCTGATGGTGGTGGTCGGCGCAGCGAAGGTGCTGATGTCGCCGAGCATTGCCACTACGTGGTCAACACGGTCCTCCAGTTGGCGGCTTGAGGGTGCACTGCTGGAAGCTTCAGCAGCTGGTCCTGGTACAGCTTGTTCCAGGTCCAACAATCGGGCATTGAGTGCCCGAGTTGCATCCTCGTGGCTCTGCACTGTGCGGCGGAGCGTTGCCAACTCCTGATGCTGTTGTGTCAGGTCCCGGTATTGTCTCTCCAACTCCGACCTTTGGTAGTTGCAAGCATACAACAACCGCGTCATGAGTTTGGAGAGGAACTCCTTGTGCTTCTCTTCCGGTGTTGCCTCGTCGCCGTTCGGTTTAAAATGCCAGTACTTGAGTCTGTCGATGCTGTTGGCTTGACGTGGCACTGTGTCTGACATGGTACTGCTGACGTGGCACTGTGTCCTGGCACTGCTGACGTGGCACTGCTGATCTGGCACTGTGACGTGGCACTGTGACTTGGCACTGTGATGTGGCACTGCTGACGTGTCACTGCTGACGTGGCACTGCTGATCTGGCACTGTGACGTGGCACTGTACCGAAACGGGATGCATGCAAGGGGTGGGTGGGAGGGGAAACGGAGGGAGGTAACCAACCCAACAATACTTTCCTCCGGCCCTAATCAACAAATAAAATAAAAAAATAAAAATAAAAAGAGGACTTCTTCCCTTTTTTTTCTTTTTTTTTTGTATATATCTGTCCATTTATGATGAGTAGGATTTGTCAGAAGAGTATTATGAACGAGATCTAGGCTAGGTGCCGCGAAGTTTTGGCTTTTACAAACTTCGATCTTGAAAAAAAATTGCGAAATGGAGTAAAGATGCAATTTTCAGAAAAGAACGAAATCCAGTTTCTGATAATATAGCAACCTCCGAATATGCCTAACGCAATATTGGTAGGCTTCGCAAGATTCGGTTTTCAAAAAGATTTGCGAGATAGAATGGAAATGCGATTTTCAGAAAAGAATAGTTTCAGTTTCCGAGAATATGACCACTTCTATCTTTATCAGAAATTTTCAGATATTTGTTACGTAAAAAC